TTTAACAAATGTTTATTGCAAACCTACTATGTGCCAGGTACTGAGATAAACACTCAGAACAGACAGATTTTAGCTCTTATAGAATCAAATGCATGTTAACTAATATTATTGGATATATACTTCATATATTGTTGAATTTATGATGAGGCAGGAAAACTGATCAATGTTTTCACAGTATCTTAGTCTATTAGTATCTTAGTCTATTTGCTATAACAAAATGCCTTAAATGGGTAACTTTTGTAAGGAGTAGAAACTTATTTCTTATAATTCTGGAAGCTGGGAGGTCTAAAGCAAGGCACTAGCAGTGTCTGGTGAGGGCCTTCTTCCTCATAGATGATACTTTCTCAGTGTTTCCTTCCATTGTGAAAAGGAGCTAGCTAGCTCTCTGGAGTCTCTTTGATAGAGTGCTAATCCATTTCATGAGGGGCCTATTCTCATGATTTAATAATTTCTCCCCAAAGGCCCTGACTTAATACTATTACATTGAGGATTAGTTTGACAGATGAATTTCAGGGTTCATAATAATTTTTTTGGTTCTTTTTAGTTATAAATGGAATCCATTTTGACATACTTATAAAAGCATACTTATAAAAGCATATCTTGTTCTAATTCAGTCCCCAATAACCCTTCTTTTCCTTCCCCTTCTCACCCCTGCTCCATTCCCTCTCTTAGCTTTCTGCCATTTACCCACAGATTTTTTTAAATTAATTTCTTGTGGACGTAAATTATGGTGAAATTCACTATGAAACATTCACATATGAACAAAGGAAAGTTATGTCAGATTCATTCCACTGTCTTTCCTTTTCTTATCCACCTCCCTTCCTATCATTACTTTCTGTCTGCTCCTCTGAACTTCCATCTCCCCCTCCCTTATTGTGGGTTAGCTTCCACATATCAGAAAGGACATTCAACCTTTGGTTGTTTCGGGATTGGCTTATTTCATTTAGCACGATACTGTCCAGATCCATCTGTTTACCGGGAAAAGTCATGAAGTTATTTATTCTTCTTTATGGCTGAGTAATACTCCATTGTGTATATCTACTGCAATTTCTTTATCCATTCATCTGTTGAAGGGCATTTAGATTGGCTCCATAGCTTAGCTATTGTGAATTTAGTATGTAAATTTAGTATGTACAGTAATTTAAACATTGATATGACTGTGTCACTTTAGTATGCTGATTTTAAATTCTTTGGATATATACAGAGGAGTGAGATAACTGGATCAAATGGTGTTCCATTCCTAGTTTTTTGAGGAATATCCATTCTGCTTTCCAGAGTGGTTGCACCAATTTCCAGTCCCACCAACAACATATGAATGTACCATTTCCCCCACATCCTCACCAACATTTAGCATTACTTGTATTCTTGAAAATTGGGGGGGGGTGGTGGGGAGGTCACAAATCTGATCAGAACACATAGGAAAATTTTTTCTTTTTTTTTCTTTCATGCTGCTTTAAGATGCTTTCATCTTCTTATTCTGCTATGAGTACTTTCTATTCCCAAAGTCACAGAAGATCCTTTCCAGATCCTACATGGCTGTTCCAGTTTTTAGCTATGACCACATTTYAGGCACAAGGAAGGATAAAAGTGACCAATCCTAGAAGTCACATGTACCTGTTCTGCTTACCTTCAGCTGACCAGAACTTGGTCATATGGTGATGTTACTATACCAAAAAGGCACAGGGCTTTAGCTACATATTCTAAGTCTATAAAGAAGAAAACAGATTTTAAAGAACATCTAACAGTTTCTTCCACAATCCTACCCTTTAACCACCAAAATATCTTTGCTTTTAGTCATGAATGTAAAACTTCCAAATACAACAAACCTTAATGTGATCTGCTTCAGCTGTTTTTTTTTTTCTATTGAGTAACAAAGAATTCTTAGAGGAAAATAATTTTAAAAGGCTGGAGCCCCAATCTTATCTCCAAAGATGCTGCTTTAGAGTGCTACTTTAAATTGTTCAGTTTTGAATATAGCAATATCCTTCAAACCTACAAGGCCCAAAGCTCCAAATTACTGAACTGAGTTAAATTTATATTTCAAGCTGTCCTAGTAGTCTCTACATTTCTGTGCTCTAAGTCGATACCACATATTTTTTGGTTCTTGAAAGCAGCTTAGTCTAAGATAATATCAAGAATTTCAGGAGTAGGTTCAACTGTATGTAACAGAGACCCAAATTAATACTCTTTTGAAAAGGTACAGGTTTATTTCTTATTTTAAAGTCTGAAGGTGGGCCGTGGTTGTGGCTCAGTGGTAGAGTGCTTGCCTTGCATGTGAGGCACTGGGTTTGATTCTCAGCACTGCATATAAATATATGATTAAAATAAGGGTCCATCAACAACTAGAAAAATATTTTTAAAAAGTCTGAAGGTAAGTTGTCCAGGGTTGGTGTGGTACTCAATGATTGTCTGAGATTTAAACCCCTTCTATCCTTGAGCATGTCCTTCTTCCCTAGCATCATATTAAAATTAAAGGTGACCAATCCAGAGACAGCCATTATGTCTTCATTCTCGTTTGCAAAGAGAAGGAAAACCTAGTGCAAAACACTCATGCTGCTCATTTTCACTAATTTGTCATTGGTTAGAACATGTTCATTTATCCCTACACAGCCATAAGAAACACAGAAAATTAACCCTCCCCCATCTTTCTTTCCCTTTTTCCTCTCTATATAAGTTTGGCTTATTTTGCTTAACATAATATTCTCAAGTTACATCAGTTTTCCTACAAATGACACAATTTCATTTTTCTTTATGGACATTTTCTTTGTCCATTTTCCCATTGATGGATTTTAGTTTGGCTATTGTAAATTATGCTGCTATAAACATGGGTATGTTCATATCACAATAGTATGATGACATTAATTCCTTATGGTAAATACCAAGGAGTGGTATAGCTGGGTTATATGCTTGTTCCATTCTTAGTCTTTTGAGGAACCTCCATACTGATTTCCATTGTGGTAGTTTTCATCTATAATCTCACTAGCAGTGTAAAAGTGTGGCTTTTTCTTCACATCCTCTTCAGCATTTTATATTGTTTGTGTTCTTAATAACTGCCATTCTGCTAGTTTTTATTTTAGGCAGCTCTATGCTTTGGTTAAAAGTTAAGGATACTACTATCRTAGAATAAGGAAGAAATGAATATTTTCAGACAATTGACAGTTTTTGTCACAAATAATTTAGACAAGTATTATAAAATATTAATATATAGATGTGCCAAGACATTACAATGTAGTTATTTGATATATTTGATGCAGTATTTTAAAAGCAGCCAAAATTATTTTATAAACAATATTTATGGGTTTTCTAATTTTCTCATAGTCCCAATGAAATCCTGCAATAGCCTATATTATCTCCATATTCTCCATCACCTTTCTAACTTTTCTCAACTACATTCTGGTTTGATCATCCATTTATCTACTTTTATTTACACATGCCAGTTATATTCCAACTAGGGCCTTCTCACTCTTCCTTTGTTGTCTGCTTGGTTAAATTCCCTCCCTCTTTCAAGTCTTTACCAATGATACCTATGCTGACAACCTTATTTAAAGTTGGTGTTTCCTTTACTCTCACACTCCCAATATAACTTTATCTTCATCAATTTTCCAGTATCATTTCCATCTTCTGATGTCTATATAGTTTATTTATTTGTTGTGTTTATTATTTGTTATCTGCTCCCACTAGAGTGTAAGCTGCACAGAGCACATTTTTTTCTCCCTGTTTGTTTATTGAAGAATTCCAAGTACTTAGAAAAATGCCAGCTATATTATATATCCTCAATAAATAATCAGAACATGAATGAATGCTTTTATTTTAGAACACCAGTAAAAAAGGTAAAAGTAATATTGTTATTACTTTAAAAATAATATCTTTTCCTTAGTTCTGGTATGTCATTTTATATTGGAACACCTCCTCATTGCCTTAATGAACTACATCAGAGATAAGATTTTGTAGTTTTTAAATCAGTATTGTTAGTGCATGATTACATAGTAAAGGAAACACCAGCTTTAAATAAGGTTGTCAGCATTAGGTATCATTGAGATGGTAGCACCTAGGAAAAAACTTGAAAGAGGCAGGGAATTTAACCAAGCAGTCCTGGAAAGGGACTGATAGATAATATTCTGGGATATTATTTCTTAAGAATATATTGTTTTGGTCTTAAGATACTAGAGTTTGTGTATATTATGTAAGAGATTTTTAGGCTACAAATATAAAAATTCCAACTCAATTTAATTCAAGCAAAAAGAAAGAAGAAAGAAACTGTAGGAAACTCAGGAGATATGGGTTGCTTTTTATAAGTGGTTTTGGGGACTCAAATGTTGTTATCAGGACTCTCTCTGGCTTTCTCTGTCCTTCTTCCACATTTGCTGTCATCTGTTTTGSTTTCATTCTCAGTGGTGGAGGTTTATATTGTTCTCGAAGTTGACAATCATTTTTTCCTCATCAGGACTTTGATTTACCAATCTTTGTGTCTGGGCAATGGGGCACTTTGATTGGCCATCTATGTATATACTTATTTCTTGGCATGGAAGCCAAGGCTGCATAAATTGAGAATCGTATCAGAATCAGGAGGAAGGGCAAAATAAATAAATTTTATTGTGCTGGGTTTTTTAGTAACATATTTCTCATATAAAATTGCTTATATAAGCAGTATTTTAAAAACCAGCTAAAGCTAAAAGACTTTACAAGAAATTAGCATATATTTTGTGGTGTTAGGGATTAAACCCAAGGTCTTGTGCATGTGAGGCAAGCACTCTACTAACTGTGCTATGTACCCAGCCCAGCAATTTCTTAAGTGGGATTATACCATTAATACACTTAGATTCATATTTTTCTTTAAGTTCTTATCACTGTTAATTTCTAGTGTAATTTTACACTTAATGATTGCTATACAGTCCAGAACATGATGACAAGTAGATTGATACTAATGTTTACCCTCAATTTGAAATCCAAGAGGATTTTACATTTTAAATTAACTATCATTCTTCATAATTCTTAACTGCAGATGGCAAGAATAGAAGCAGATGATCACTGGGAAGCACTGTCGCACTCTCCTTTATCTCCCTTGACTAAAGTGATGGAGGAATCACAACAAAGCAATCCTGTAGACGCCTTGCATGGGAATACTGTGGACCCAATTTACACATATATTTTGAATGACATACCAGGGTAAGAATATGATTTTATCAACTTAAACTGAATTTTAAAGAAGTTAAGTGTGCTTATAGAAAGTTATCATTATAAATATTTATTTGGTATTTGGTTAAAGTGATATAAATGGTAACTTGGAGATGGGATGAGCTATGGAGATTGTTGTCTAGGTTACAGTCCCCAATTTCTTCTACTTGATGGGAAGAAAAAAGATAAATGATCAATAAACATGAATTATTTGTGGAGACTGATTTGAAMATATAATAATAATTATATCAATAATGGCAGCTAATATTTGTTATGTATCAATCCCCACTGCTTAGCTCTTCACCTGCATTTTTTCAATTTTGTTCTCAAAACAACCCTAAGAGGAAAATAGGCAGATAGTATTCTAAACATCTCTGTTTTATCAATGAAAAGATAAAGACATAGAGAGTTAACTAGACTCACACTAATAAGTGGAAAAGGTATGATTTGAATCCAATTGGCTCTAACTGCACTGTCTTGTATATTGTATTGTAGATACTAAATTGCTCATGAAAATGTTCCTCCCAATAAAACAATGAAAAATTTTTCTTTAAGATTTTAAATATTTCTTTATATAAATGTCAATCCTAATATAGTGTGTTTCTTTACTCAGATTTTTTATTGCTTTTATAATTTATTTTTCCAACTTTCAACTTAAAATGATTATCATTTTCTTTTCATCCCATCTCTTGTTTGTTCATTTTTAATAACTTTATTATTTTTTTCTGTGACAGCTAAATGTACTTTCATTTATTCTGTTTCTTTCTCCTTTTCTTTCTTTTATTTTTTTTTTAATTCTCAGTCTAACTCAGACTTTGTGTCCTTGTCCTTTTTATTATATATCAGTCTTTTCATGTGATATTTTCCTGCTTCTGTTTTTAATAGTTTGTTATTTCAACATGATTATTTTATTTATTTGTTTGAATTCTAATTTCTTTTCTGTCATTATTTCCTGTTACCATCAACTTTGATTATGATACACCTAGAACAGAATGTTGAAGATAATACTCCGAGATCTTTTACCTTCTTGGGAAAGAAAATGATAATCTTCATCTTGAAAGAAGTCGAGTTCATAAAGGCTAATGACAATGAAAGCTCTATTGGTACTGATATGATTATCAGAGAAAGGTAATTTTCTCTGAGTAAAGGCATTTTTCTCTTGATTGAGGTTAAAACATTTGTGTTTTCCTTGCCACATTTTGTCTACCATCTTTATGTTCTTTATGAGAAGTAATTATTCAAATAGTTAATGTGTTTTTCCTTTACTGGTATCATAGAAGCTCTGCTTTTCTTCACTAATTAACACATTCTGCTTATTGTGTAACCGATGTGATTCTGCAATTTGTATTTGGGGTAAAAATGGGAGTTCATAACCCACTTGAATCTAATRTATGAAATATGATATGTCAAGAGCTTTGTAATGTTTTGAACAACCAATAAAAAAATCAAAAAACAAAACAAACAAAAAACCTCTCGAGTTAGAGAAAAATAATAAACTGTCTCATAGGATTGTTTTGAGAATTTAATAAAACTAATGTCAAACAAAAAAAATAATTTGGACATTTCAAATGCAGCCACATAGATAGTAGCTGCTGCAGTCAACAGTTTAGCCTTAGATGGTGTATTCACTCTTCTTTTTTTTAAAAAAATTAGTTGTAGATGGAAACAATATCTTTATTTTTTTTTTTTTTATGTGGTGTTGAGGATTGAACCCAGTGCCTCACATATGCAAGGCCGGCACTCTACCACTGAGCTACAGCCTCAGCCCCTCACTCTTTTTATCCAAAAATTTAGTAGAATAATTCCTGTCTGGAGATGAAATGACATAACCAAATTTTAATGCTTAAAGTGTTACCTCAAATTAAATTAGAATATAATAGCATATATCACTTTTGAGATAATTTTATAGTAAGAAAAGTACAGGCTTGATAGTCTGCCTCAAGTTCAAATCCCAAAAACATGACTGATAAAAACATCTTTACTAATTGATCGCTTGCAATATTGAAAAATTAGGCACTGATTTAAATTCCCTGAGCAGGACAAACAAAATAAGCATTTGTATTAAATTTACTTATAAGAGTCATACAGTGACCAGTATTTTCATGTTATTATCTGATACTATTAATTTACCTTTGATTATATTTTTTGTGAAAAACCCTTCTTTTTTTACCTTTTTCATGTTCTTTCAGTGTTTTTCTTCTGCTGTCATTCCATTTACATTTGCTTGTAATAGAGTGAAAACTGTTGTGCCAGGATCCCACTGCCAAAGAAAACTAACACCAAAAGTGTAAATGTGGTCTGATCCTCTCATTTTAAGACTTACCCTTTAGAGGTCAGATGACTACTAAAGTGTAGCTACTTCCAAGAAAGAAGAACAATAGGAAACAATAGGAAAATATGTATTCTGAGGTGGTCCAGAATAGGGAATAAATCTTTGAGATGTGGATGGCAAAATCAATTATTTATTCATAACAGGTTCTACAATATTCATACAATATATYTTTAAATGCTGTAGTAGAAGATTTCCAAATGACAATTTGATTTTACAGTTAAGAAAATATTATAATAACATATCTTTCTATTCCACATATAAAATACTTTTAGTGATTTTTAGTTGACAATCATATAAGAAATGTAATTTCATGATTTTTATAATGGAATATTATAGTATATCTTATTCTACTGGCAGCTTAGTATATTACCAACTCTTACATTTCCCTGAGGAGGAAATTCCTTTTAGTACATTAAATGAGGACTTAAATCAGTTATAAAGTGACTACCAACAAGTTTTTATTGCAGATTATCAGGGCTGAGTTTTTACAGATGAGCTTGATTTCAGGAATATTAATGACACCTCCTCTATTCAGTCCCATTTCATGTCATTTTACTCATCTTGGGTATTTCAATTGGATTGAGTATTTGACTTTTTATCAAATATAAACATTTGGAAACCTGGCCTTTTCTAGGGACAGTATAAATTTATTGATTTCATCATTTCAAAGGTGAGCTGCTGATTCTCATCATGGAATGGTGGCAGAAGGGAATGAGGGGAGACAAGAGTGAATGAAGCAATGCTGTATCTTCACTGTTTCCAAACCATACACTTTCTTTAATTCATATATTTTTTTCTGATTTTTTCCATCAAGACTTAAAATAAGTCTCTACAAAATTAAACAGTAGCATGTTGTTTCCCTTAAATAATAATGAGACTAGATCATTATTCCTTTTGGAAAATTTAAGTTTCTGCTGGAAAATGTTATATATAATATCCATTATATTATAGACATTATAACATAATAGTTTTATATTTAAGCTATAAATATATCCTCTCCCAGTTTTAGATTTAAGATGTAACTTATTTTTAGTTTTTTACTTTTGCACATGCAAAAATATTCTTTTATTTCTTTAGGCAGAATGTTTTATTCCCCTGATCATATACTCACATGGGTCTTTAAGAATCTTCGGAATTGTTTTTCTTGTTTAGTATTTTCCTTTTCTGTAAAAACAAGCCAGTTTAATTTAACAAGCATTTTTGGCTGCCTTCTATCTGGAGTGTGTGTGTGTGTGTGTGTGTGTGTGTGTGTGTGTGTGTGTTGGGGGGTGTGTGGGTTGTATTTTGAATGTAATACATTGGTTGTTATCCAGACATTGAGTTGCAAGTAAAAATTTGACATATTATGTGTTCAAATAACCTGAGATGGCTCTGCAATTGGAAAACCTTTACCAACATTTCTAGGCTAAACTAAAATTATATTTTCTTTGATGCTWGAAATAAAATTTGTGGAGAATTGCTCAATTTTATTATCACTTATTTACTCTCTGTGGTGTTTAAATCACATTTTATCAGAGAAATTGTAGAAAGTTATTTATATCTTTGGAAGTTATTTGTTTAAGCAAGTTGAGGAAAGGACAGTATGAAGTTTAATAAAGTCTTTGTGCTTTGTGTACTGCAGAGATATTGAAAAAGATTGCATTCATCAAACATGAGATTATTTCTTTTATTGGTTGCATTTAATTATTTCAAATTTGTGACATTATTGAAAATACTTCTGGCCATTTTCCTTTGTGTTTCTATTTTCTTATTTGTACATATTCCAATTAGAAAGTTTAATTACCATTAAAATGTAATAGGATAAAGACAAGTTTTACAAATGATAATATTAAAAAAGCCACATAACTCTTTAGGAAGGTTCAAATGCTATTAGAATATAAAGCAAGAAATATATGCTTGTCAAATATACAGTATAAATAAATAATTTTAGATGAAAATGGTTGACTACATTTAACAAAGAGTCTACCAAATAATGAAAGGCTAAAGAGTGGTTGTTAGATTTGATGTACTTCATTGTATATTGTAAGTAATTGCTATCCATAAAAATTCTATGGCTTCTGTATAAGAAAAAGAGACATTTTGACAGGCAACACTAGTATGAAGTGACAGCAAGTACAAATCCTTGGCAACTGTCATTATCCTGCTGTTGAATTCACATCCAAACTATGTGATAACTTAGACCTGCGTGTTTATTACTGAGCCATGGTCTGTCAAAGTAGCCATACTTCTTATTTATGAATAGTATTATTAGCCACATGCAGATTTATGTCATAGAAATCTCAATTTATGAAGGATGCTTTGTGTTTCAGAAAGRGGGAGGATAAAAACTCCATGTTATGCTATGCTTACACTGAAATTTCTGGTGAAATGTTTAAGTAAAAGTTGAGCTTTTAGATACTACTAGATTGGTTCACATTTTTATCCCATCATAATTAATTAAACATTAGTAAAGACTTAATAAAACAAAATAAAGCAAATATAATTTAGATTATTAATTATTTGACATTGACTATCCATTATATTGAGTGTAATTTTCTCTATAAAGGTAGTGAGAAACTGATTATATGTTAGGCCATGATCAGTGCAAAGTAATAYAAAACTAAAAAGAGTTTCAAAATGAGGAAGATTCATTATCCCACCTAAGAACTTTAGAGATAAA